ATTAAGCATCCGACTTCAGCTCAGGTCATGATCTCACAGTTCGTGAGTTCAAGCCTGGCATCAGGCTCTGTACTGACAGCTCAGGGCCTGGAGCCTGCTTCAGATTCTGTGTCTCCTTCCCTCCCTGCCACTCCCCTGCTCATGCTCTGTCTCTCTCTCTCAAAAATAAATAAACATTAAATAAATAAAAAAATAAATATGTGTGGCATAAGTGGAGAAGGTATCAATCTTGTGTTATAAATTTTGTGCTTTAAATATTGTCCTATCAGTAAAGTTATAAATTGTACTATCTTCACTTCAGTAGGTACTCGTACACAGAAAAAGAACTGGAAATACATGTCATTATGGGTACCTGTAATTTCCTTCTGTGATTGTCAGTCTTTACAATTTTCTAATTTTTTTATTAAAAATGGGTTAGAATTTTTACAAGAAAGCCATTATTATCAGCTACAGGCAGAAAAAATAAGCATTACATAAAAGTAAGCTTTAAGAGTGGTTTTTGAACTTTTAAAAATTGCCTTTAACTCTGTTTTTTACGTCTAGGAGAATAACTTTTAACATATTAATAGGTTGCCTAATTCAAGCTTACCTCATGTCTAAAAACAAATCCTACGATGGCAGCGACCAGTTCAACCAAAAAAATGAGAGTCAGAAACATTGCATACTGTGGGATAAAAAGAAAGTCCAGGTCAGCATAAATAAGATACATCACAGCAGCAAAGAGAGTCAAAGAAAAATATAGTCTGCTCAATCAGTTCAGCATGTTTTTATTAAAAAGGACAGGGGAAACACAACAAAAGTGGGAACTGGAAGGTGAAGTGTTACTTGGGAAGTAACGGGAAAAATCCTAAAGGACCGTGGCCAGTTTCAAGAAACAAAGCCTACAACATATAAGACTCTTCTAAAACCAAGAATCAATTCTAAGGAAAACAAGGACTCACCAGTTTTAGCATCCATGCAGAAGCTCGGCAGGTAGCAAAACAGCCAAAGGTGCCCAAAAGAATAATTACAGTGCCGGTGCCAATGAGCACGAAGGGGACATTGGTGGCCTTCTCATTTAAAAGGGAAAAATAATTCTCCAGGCTCACCTTGCCCCAAATGCCAACGGCAAGAAGGATAACACCAGTGATCTATGTGGGAAACCAGAGAACAGAAAGTATAATATACACTGTATAATAGAGAACAGAAAGTATAATATACACAGCAGCACCTTCAAACCACAAACCACTGGGTATTTAAGATACAATAGGTGTACGAATTTAGCAGTCTGTGGCCACAGAGCTGTGGCTGGGATATGGGAGACAAGGGGTAGGAAGGGGATCTTCACAAAAGGACAAGCCTTGATAAATCCACGCTAGATCACCAGGTAACCCAGGAAACCAGGGCAAAACCAGGGGGGCTGCTAGAGAAGGCATCTTAACAAAATTCTTAAACTTCATCTTTTTTTTTGTTTTGTATAAACAGAAGTCTGTGGCATATCTGTCCTAGGAATAACAACTTATTTAACTGCTTTACTCCTGCCCTAGGAAGAACACCTTCCTGGAGAAGGGAAAAAAGTGTTTCTAGGAGTTCCTGAAACTTCCCCCTCCCCCAACCCCAGTTCGGAGTTGAGCACAGCGTACAAAAAGGATACTACACAAAAGCAAGCCGATGGTAGGTTGGCTGGAGTGCAGCCATTAGTATACTTACCTGTGAAATACTCCCCTCTTACGAAGCAGTGAAAAGAAAGAGACTATTAAGCGAGTGAGCCCTCAGAGGGGAGGGACAAGCCTTGCCTCTCGAAAAGGTCCGGGGACACCCTCTGAGAGCTCTGGGGTGTTAACTCCCTTCCTCGTCCCCCGCCTCAAATTCGAATCCTAAGCGCGTCTGTGTCCCAGCACAGCCTATTGGCTGCCACCGTCCAGCACTCCGACCCCGGAGCGGGCAAGATGCCCGAGCAAGACCCCGGCAACTCATTGCCACCGTCAGGGTCACTGCGGCGACAGCCGGCCAACCCCCTCCCGCGCCTCCCTCCCCACCCCGGACCTGAGCGCCCTCTGCTCAGCGTCACACCCCCCACCAAAGCCCGCAACCCCACCCGCCCCCGGGCTCCTCCGTTTCTCACCCAGAAGATGAAAGTGTAGATCAAGAGGACGCTCTTGAAACAAGTAATGACTGGTTTGGTCTGCAGTCTCCGAGACGGGGACGCCATGATTAGCTCAGGACCCTGCCCCGCCGCACCAGGCGAGCGGAGTAGAGCAAGAGAGAAGCAGAGTCCCCGAGTCTCCCCGGAAACTGCCGGAAACTTACGAGCGTCTACAACTGAGAAGAGCCGGAAACACTGTACAATTTTCTAGAGGGTAAAATCCGGGAGGCTATCCGGAAAGTGACGACAATTTTTGTGCGCCCCCTGCTGAAGGTTACCGAAAACCATACACAAAGTTCTATTGTCGGGAATTTCTTAGATCTTCAAGTAGAGCTTTCCTAATTTTTTCTCTCAAGGAATCTTTCCCGCTCCCCACCCCTCCCTACCCTTATAACTTGATCATATTGTTCTATCACCAGGAGTGCCAGCAGCACTCTGAGATTCGGCCTTGCCCGCCCCTGGTGCCCTAAAGGGAAAGAAAGGAATGAAAAAAGAGGTTAAAAGTGATCTAAGAATCTTTTATTACATGGCTAAATATCCTCAAGAAATATATTCCAATGAGAAAGTGTATTACAAAGCGACACGTACAGTCATATGTTTTTAGACAAAAACTGAGGAAAAGTAAAATTTACCTGAGTGGTGGTATTAAGCTGATTTCTTTTTCACTTGTTCTGTGATTTTCAATTTTTGAATATTGTTTCATGTGGTGGGGAGCGGGGCATTAAGAGTGAATGGACTGTGGGAAGTAATCACTTCTTGAAAGAATTCCAAAGTTAGTATGAGAGATTGTTAATGAATTTGACAATTTTCCTACAGAAATTTGCAAAATCCATTATCTTTCTCCTCTGTTATCCTCTAAACAATTGGAAAGTCGAGGGAAAATGTTCTAAAGTGATTAATATTGAAATGTAACATCAGTATCAACAGTAAAGTTTTAAAAAGGGAAGGTGCTACTGAGAATGTCAGGTAAGTGTGACCTCCCCCCTCCACATTTTAAATGTTAAAACTGAACGGCACTGTATATTTGAGCCCCCTGGGTTTTCAGATCGAGAGCCAGCTGATCACAGAGAGGCTGAAAACGAAAGTCACACAACTAACAGCAAAGCCAAAATTAGAGATCACTGTGCTTTTTGATCCCCTCCCCTGTTACACCAGCCGCATATGGTATTGAGTTGTGGCGTGTCTGTCCATCTCCCTAAAATCCTCCCAATTGCTTAGATCTTCCTAGAACTTGAGACAGTGTGCTCCTGAGGAGTTAAACTGCTTACAGAATGGGATCAATCACCCAAAAGTTTTCTGTCCCAAATGTCCAGAGGCAGCCCTGAGTGAATCCAAGGGGTAAAGTGGAACAAAAGAAACCCAGCCCTCTTCAGGGTCTCTGAAACATTGGTGACAAAAGCTGAGGCTCTTTTTGTTTGGGGCTTGAGTTCAGGAAAGGCCAAATGTAAAGACAAGTCTCCAGATAGTTGAAAGGCCTAGAAAATTTGAACTATGCAAATCTGCAGAGCCCTAAAGGGTATTTAAAGTTCCTTGTTACATCTGTGAAATAGGGAAATCTCATAAAGGATTCATGTGCATGTGCTTTGCTCAGCACACAAGAATAAGCATATATTTGAGCTATAAGTTAATTCTATGCCTGTAGTTACAGGGAAGAAAGAAATGAGCCTAGACCTTATAGATACTCACTGTTTCCTGCTTTCTGGTACCTCTTAGGCTTCAAGAGTGACTAAATGAGCCATTGAAATTGCCCACAATTTAAATAGGTCATTTACTTTTCATGGGAACCTCAGAATAGAGAGGTTTTTTTTATCTAGTCAGGTTCAAAGCAATTCACAAAATGAATTAAATACAAATGAATTAAGGAAGTGCTATAGGCATCCTGGTCTCCCATTTTACTTAGGAACATTAGTTAAATCCCTAGCATTCATCTTTCCAGGAATTCAGGACAGGTATAATCAAGAAGAAAAGAAAGATTACCAATGGGTGTGAAGACTCAATTTTCTGATTAATGGAAAATACATACTTTGTGAAATTTTCTCTGGCCCTTCTTGCTCCCTCCATAAAAATATATACTTGTGAGAAAAAATAGTTACTTCTAGGAAATCTGAGTTGATACCTAACACCAACAATACTATAGATATGTATGCTCCTTTATCCCTATGGTAAGACACAGAACATTTAAGTTTCAACCAAAAACAACTTAACTCTTAAGGAAAGTTTATAATTGTACATTCCTAGTAAACTATGGATGGCACTTAAAGTATGGAAGTGTATTTTTTTCCTATTAAATCATGTATGTAGATGACTCCACATTTCTATGTTATGTATAATGAACTGGTTGATCTATATTATAGCACACAGAGTATGTATTAAGGTGTGGTTTCTTAACTAAGGTGTAAGCTCTTCAAGGGCAAAGACTGAGTGTCCAGTGAGTGTGTGCTGTTTCTTGAAGGATGGGAGTAAAAGACAATATCAGTCCCCTATGCAATCCATCACATCATCACTGACATAAGCTTAACATCACAAGTGGGCATTTACTGTATTGCTATTATATTGCTATATATATAAAGAAGAGGTGATGCCCAGACTTTTTTGCTTGAAACTTTGCTTTAAATATATACCACAGAAACAGAAAACAAGAAAGTTACATTGACTTGGTCACACAGAGCTTCCCTGTACTTTGAATATTGTCTTAGGACCAGCTCCTATAGCATCATGCCAGATGTCTGAGATCCAAGAGAGCAACTACTAGAGAATGAATACTGCACCAACAGTCTTTATCCTAAAATTTTATCCTAAAATTTTAAAAGCCTAACATATAAACACATGGAGAGAATGGGTAAAGTATACATCTCTGCAACTATAAACACTGAGGGAAGGTTATCAGGAAATATAGCAGATGTCAATTTTGAGAGAAACATGTGTCATAACTACAAGAAATGAGGTTGAGGAGGCTCTAAGTAAATGCAAAGCTTTCTCCCTAGGCTAAATAACAGTATGTGAGGGGTTCTCATATTAAAACAAACAAGTATCAAGGGAAGTCTTGCTAACTTCTTGTCATCTTAAATGGAAGCTTCCTCTGAAGCTTAGATTTGTACCACGTTCTGGAAGGGAGTTTCCTTGTGAGCTCACAAGCAAAGAAATATTTTTGTGGCTGAAGAGAAAATGAAATAGTTAAAGCAAAAGCCACATCTAATTTCCAAGAATGTGTTGATTTTCCGCCTCTCCCTTCCTCTACCACTTACAATGCTGCTTTGTTTGAATAACAGTCAGTGCCAAATTAAACCAAAGGCTGACACAGAATTTAATATTCCTATGGCTGCAACACCTTGCACCATTGCCTCTCACTCTGCTACACCCTCTTACCCTGCTGCCATGTCACAAAACCCAGAAGTTCAGTTTACTTCAAATTTAGGCCTGGGTCTGGGCCCAAACCCAGATCAAAGGGGCATCTAATCCCACCTAAAGTAATATAAGTAGTAATTCTGTAAGTCATAAGATACATATATTCTTTAAAGCATTAATATTGTAATACTTAATTGTACTATTGATATTACATTCTATTGTATATTTATATTATATATAGTATTATCAATATTACATTCCATTATATATTATATATTGTAACTATAATATTGAGCATTGAATATGTACTGTTGCTAAGCGCTTGACAGGTGGTACCTCATGCATACATCACAAGAGCTACCTTATTGTGAGGTCAAGACTACCACTGCCCTCACTTTACAGGTGAGGAAACAGGTTCAAAAAGGCTAACTTGCCTAAGACCAAGCCCCTCCACCTTCTGTTTCTCTCATCAGAAATAGGGTCCACTCTATGATGAGACATGGCTGCCATTGTATAAATAGATGTCTTGGCTGGGAATAACCAAGCAAAGACTGCTATATTCAGATGTTTAACCACAAACAAGGGCTCTTAGAATCCCCTGAGTCATAAAAACCTCAATGATTTCCCCAATTCTTCCTTGTACTTGGGGGTTTTGTTGAGTTTTACTTTTGCCTTCATTCCAATAGCCCAATCACCTAAGACATAACCCTGCCCATCCCAGAGTGGCAAAGTAGAGAGTTCAGTACTTTTTCTGGTTCAATCTGTTTTCCTCCCTCTTTATGACCACAAAAACACTTGTTTGATGCTGAAAATATGGGGGAAAGGCAAATATTTTCCTTAAGTATTGTTGCTCTTTGTTTTACATTCCATATTCAGTAGGGATTTGTGTCCCTTTCTATTAATTTCCTGTAACCTTCAAGATTAAGTTTAAGTGTTGTTCTTTGGAATTTAAACTATGTCTCCCCCAGGAAATATGATATCAGCTTATTTCCTACTGCTTTTCCAACATGAATTTCCTGTTCCACAATAAGCCAGTATGATTATCTCCCAATAAACAAGATCTGTTCCCTGTTCCCTTCCCATTCTCCAGCCTCACTCAAAATTCCTACTCCTTACTTAAGGTACATCCCAATCCCAACTCAACGAGAGTGTGAATCTACCCCCTTTAACCATCTCCCCACACTAACCCACACACACCTCTTTTTCTAGCATCAGAGCTCATAGTCTGACCACTCACATTAACTCAGATCCTTAGCCAATTACTATGGTACCTGCTTGCTTCTCTACTTACCTGTCTTACATCCTGCTGTCTACATGTTCAGAAACTACTGAAAAGCCAGTGTGGCAGGGCTCTTGCACCCCCTTTTATACTCTCCCCAACACCCTAGGACATAATGCTTAATTGATGAACTCATTTGGTTTCAACCAATCCCTGTTGAGCCCTTTGGTTACAGCTGGTCTCTGAGACTAACCACTTAGTAGTGACTTAAGGTTTGATCAATTCAATTAAATAAACTAAATAAATGTCTAAGCCATCCCAACATTACACTATCACAAACAAAACAATTAAGTTGAGCTGCTGGATAATGTCTTTGAACATTAATACTCCCTATCCTAGGAACCAGTAAAAAGACACCAACTATTTCATTCAGAATATATCTTATCTCTTATTCACATAATGACCTTACCATTTTCAGTTTCTAATACCTTTTATAGAATCCCTTCAACTACCTTTGGCTAAGTGCACATCATAAAATTTAAAAAACACCTCTTGTTTATTTTCTTAAAATCTCA